TCCTGTGAAACAAAGGGCGTTGGAATTGAAGAACCAGGACGTTTTAAAAAGAGGAATAATCAAAATACAAGGGTCTCCCTGGCAAGCATTTGGTTTTCAGACAGCGGAAAGGCTGAGCTCATCACACTTACTGCCAGCTATTAATACACTGCTGAACTTTTACATTTCCTCTGTAAAAATGTGTGTGTCTGTGGGGGGGGGGGAACCCTGCAATATGACATCTCAACCACAGAGTGGGTGATGATTCTCTGCTGCTTGGCGCAGCCACCTAAACTGACATTTAAAGTAGTTGGGGAATATTCTGTGGTTATGAAAGCCCAGTTTCTTAGAGTGATTATATTTAGCTTCTTCAGACAGTGGCCTAAATCCAGTGTGATGGCCAAGACACTATCACAATGGGGGAGGGGGGGAAATAGGCTGGCAACAGAAGCTGTTTTGGAGAGATTCCCAGCTCTTGAATGTGGGTTTCCCAGCCTTCAAGAGCATTCTATCTTCTGATGGGATGACACTGTGGCATATCGGCCACCGAAAGAGAAAAAGAGCCTTTGAAATACACCTCATTTAACAAATTGGTCTCATTTTACCATTTTCAGTAAGTAACAGCCCTGTCTCTGGACTCTCTGAGATGTGGGGAAATTTTCTTGTGAGGCAACAGCATTTGTTTTTCATTGCTGGATGCTTCAAGTAAGGAGTTACTTTCTACACAGGACTTCAGAACTATAATATTTAGATTATGTCACAGTTGTTGCATTTCTAGTCCAATCTTGCTCAGTTGCATGGGAAAGCTGCACAAAGCAGTCTTTGTATGGACTGAACATACCTGGATGCTGATTCAGCTCTCCAGTTGCTAAAGGAAAACACTACAGTGGGGTCTTGACTTGAGAACTTAATCCGTATTGGAAGGCGGTTCTCAAGTCAAAAAGTTCTCAAGTCAAATCTGCATTTCCCATAGGAATGCATTGAGAACCATTTGATCCGTATCTGCTCTTTTCCGTCCATAGAAACTAATGGGAAGCTGCTATTCTGCCTTCGACCACTAGAGGGGGATATTTTGTTTCTTTTTTTCTTAGGTCAAGAAAGGTTCAGGGAACGCAGGGAAAATCCAGTCCAGGTAGGACAGTACCAGGCGGTCCGAAGACTGTCTCCCAATCCACTCTCTAAACGCTGGGAGGAGTGAGGAAGCAGACAGGCACCCTTTTCACTGGCCAACAGTTAACTGAAAGTTCACATTTTGAACTTTCCCTGCCTCCCACGTGGGTTTTTTTCAGTTCTTAACTCAAATCTAAGTACTTAAGTCAAGTCAGTATTTTCCTATGAGAGCGGTTCTTAAGTCAAAATGTTCTTAACTCGAGCCGTTCTTAAGTCAAGACCCCACTGTACTTAGAAAGGTAAATGATGTTTTATTTTTGTTGTGTGTTTAACCATTTTTTTAAAAAAAAATACAAACAAACCTCTGGGCTGAAAGGCAGTATTTATTTTATTTATTTATTTATTTGATTTTTACCCCGCCCCTCTAGACCATATCTACTCAGGGCAGCTTAAGAATAAGCAGTATAAGCAGAAGTTATGATAGCTCATGGATCTTTTTATCAACCAACCAACCAACCTTCCTAACTGTTTTTCCACTGAAGCTCAAATTGCACAATGAAATACAGGGACTGACAATGTTCAAAACACACCCAACTGAGATACAAGTATATTTCTAATAAGTTGAGTGAAATAATTTGGGTGATTCTACATACTAAATTGACACAAATTCAGGAATAATGATGAAAGTACAGTGGTACCTCGCAAGACGACAACCCCGCTGAATGACAAATCTGCATTACAATGACTTTTTGCGATCACTATAGCGATTCGCAAAACAGTCATTCCAATGGATTTTCGCTTGACGTCGATCAGGTCCGCGCTTCACGAACCGTTTGTTCGCAAGACGATGATTTTTCCGGCTCCGCAAAATGGCTGCCCTGTCTTTTCTGGACCCATGCTTCGCAGAGCAGCCATTTTTACAGCTGATCGGCGCTTCGCAAAATGGCTTCCCTATGGGCGATCTTCACTGGACGACAAGGTATTTTCCCCATTGGAATGCATTAAATGGGTTTCAATGCATTCCAATGGGGAAACTGATTTCGCATGACAATTTCGCTAAACGGTGATTTTCCTGGAACGGATTATCGTCATGATGCAGGGCACCACTGTACATTCAACAGGGATCAGTGCCAGTTTCTGGCCTTCTGGTATGTGCGCCACTGATACACACTCTGAAACCTAGGCTTTAAAAAGTGTACATAAGAACCTTATGCATACTTATCCAGTAATGGATAAATCAAACTAAGAATTCTTGACAATACATAAAATGATACTGGACAAATCAGCCTTTAAACTAATCTCATTTGTAAAGCAATTTTATTTAATGTATATAAAAAATCAATTGTTAGGAGAGGCAAATAGGAGGATCAAAAAAACCCGTATCATTTTAATGCAACTATTCATGTTATCAATATTTTAAATCAGCTACAGCTAATTTTAAGGTCTGATATATTAATGAACATTTGTTCAATATATACTATGCTATGTGAGCCCCAGGTTCTTCCAATAATTAGTTTTTTAAAAAGCCAACAACCTTTAAATAGGGAACCAAAGCTAGATCCAGTGTTAGTAGATAGAACTCCTCCAATCCTCCAGAACAGCTCAGGGGTCACACAGGGAATGGGGCGGGAAGTCATTTTCTAGGATCACCAGCATTAGATAAAGCCACCAATGTACCCAGGTATGTTAAATCTTCTCCTTAAATGCCGCTAAATGTGTCACGAAATTTCTTATTTCATTCCAGAGTTAACTATCTTATTCAAAAACACTTCTGTCACCAGAAACATCATTTGCCAATAAATCCTAGCTCTCAAGGGGTACCAAGCTTAATGATTTAAAAAAAATCTTTACTTTGATAAAACCAGTAGAGTCAAGGCTAACAAGTAGAGATGGGGTCTATTTGTATACGAATACCCCTGCATAGCTGGACATAATGAAGGTCCCGCCACTCCTGCATCTGCCGCCGCCAGCTCCATTCTCCCTTCCAATTGCTCCGGAGCTGCTGGTTGGCTATCCACTTGTCAGCCCTGCAGGGAGACTCATCTTCGCTCCTTCTGCCTGAAGTGGAGACCGGGAGCTCCGGAGCGAATGGAAGGGAGAGCCAGCAGCAGTGGCGGATGCGTGAGTGGTTGGTCTGGCTGGATCCTCATTACATCCAGCTGTGCAGGAGTATTTGTATTCGTATATGAATACCTCCATCTCTGCTCACAAAGTTGAAGCCCTGGGACATTGTGGTTCTCAGGGACCATAACATCATCTGCCATCCCTCTTCATGCTTCCATGTTCCCTCCTTATTAGCTACAGTCCTCACAGGAGCTGGCAGAGAACTGGACTTTCCCAGGTACAATGTATTATTGCTAGTTCTCCCTGTTGTAATGCTAAGTTTTTGAGAGTGGTTTGGTGTTGAATGAACATTTAAGAACCAGCAATCTCCTGGTGGACGCAAAAACTCCTAGAATTTATTTGCTGATACAGTTTATAACTGCCTGCATTTTCTGGAGGGATGGGAGTGTCTATGGGAAACAGCATGATGAATGATGGCAATTTAAAATTTACTGCTACACCACACGTTAAAAATAGTATTTTTAGTACCCATGTTGTAATTTTATACAATCTCCCTGATGCTTAAAGATATGGAAAATTGAGGGTTTAGCACGTAACATAACTCAAAGCATTAGTTTTTTTTAGTGAACTCTGACCCTGATTTTCTTTCTTTTTAAATTTTACCAGATAGAATAAAATCTAAAGGCCTGGACTTCTAACAATATCAACTTAATTATAAGAAAATAGTAAATAATAAGAAAATGATCTTTTGACATGTTTCTCCCCCAAGGCTTCCTGTTGTAACTGCAAGAAATCAATCTAGCCTAGACTTTATTTAAGGCTTCATGAAAAGTGATCAATAAGTTATTTATAACTTGTATAATTTCACTCTTCCCAGAGACTGAGGTTCTTCTCCAGATGTCATCAGGATGAAAACCTATGTGACCAGTGAAACAGATACTGATACCAATGAAAACCTATTTTAACCAGTGAAACAGATATTGATATTTTATGAACCAATTTAAGAACAATGCTTACCTTGCATTTACATCTAAAGATAATTTACAACACGCTAGCTCTAACACTATGTCTTCAGACAGACCTATCAGTCGGCTGCTAAACTCACTTCCACTTCACCTGTCTTCCTGCCATCTTCCACTTCCCTTCCACATTACCTTATAAAACACTTATACTCAAATGTCTTTAGTAGTTAATAGTGTTGGAAAATGGAGAGAACACCTCAATTCAAATTCTGACTCAGTCACAGAAAAACTCAGTGGGTTGATCTTGGCTCAACATGCTGGCCAAAATCTAGTTGCTTAGGGCAGTGGTTCTTAACCTTGGGTTACTCAGTTTTTTTTTTGACTGCAACTCCCAGAAGCCTTCAGCACCAGCTGTGCTGGCTGGGATTTCTGGGAGTTGCAGTTCAAAAACACCTGAGTAACCCAAGGTTAAGAACCACTGGCTTCAGACATTAAGTTGTGCTAACGCAGGCCCATTGAATCAACTGAGATTTGGTGAATCAATTCCTGCACAAGTTCAATTGATTCAAACAGGCCTACTCTGCATAGTAAGTTGTAGTTAAATCAATACAACCTATGGATGATTTGATTCACTGCATCCTCATTCAATCTATCAACCTACTCTAGTATGAGTTATTAATCTAAGCAATAGGACTGTGGCCAATAAGATAAAATATATCATGAAAGACCATATATACTACCCTAACCTCTTTGGAATAACAAAAATCAGTCAAGTGTTGTTGAAGGAGAAGTTCTGAACGGCAGATGACTGACCTAAACACCAAATCTTCCTGGTCAAAGTAGCAGTGCTTAGGCAGCATTGTCTAACTTTGGAAACCAACTCACCATATGCAGTCATGGTCCCAACATAAGGTCCATCCACCACGTTCCTATTCTCCTCTGCCAGGGCTTTAATGTATCTTTTGCTGAGGTCCAGTATCTGTTCACGAAGCACGGAACTGCTTTCATGCTGAGTCTTCTGCTGGATAGTAAAATGCAACAGCATCATTCCCCAAATGAAGCCAAAAGTCACCAGAAAGAAGCCAAGTTTCTGAGAGGACAACTTCCATGGAGTAAAAAATGCCATGGCTGTTCAACCCACTCTGGAGTCACTTCGGAAAGGCTCAACAACCCTATGCAAGGACTTCAGTTCATAGTCCAGGCAAGTAACAATCACAGTTCAACAGCTCTTCACTCTGGCTCTTTAGTCAACTTATTGTCCCCTTTCATTTCCATTCTTCTGCTGCAAGAGAAAAAGGAAACATACCGTCATTTCAATGTAGTAAAATCTCTCCCCAAATTGTCTTAATGCTGACTTGACTCACCCCAACCCCCGCTCAAAGAATGGCAACATGCTTTCCTGGCATATCCGGAATTGTAACAAATCAATATTTAATAACATGAGTCACAATATAAAGAATTCAGGCAACATTTGGAAGTGCATCAAGGAATGTGTCTTAACAGATGCAGAATCTACCTTTCAGAAACTTGGAACCAATTCAGCACAACAGAAAGTTCCCAATCTGAAGCCATTTCATGCGCCAAGAGCAGGGTGGAATTACACTTTGAAAGGGATGTGCCAATGCAGCAATACTTTCATTCCTTTCAAATTTGTTACAGATTTTTTTGTTTATAAGAGTGCCATATAAGGTAGACTTCAGTGGAAATTCCCTTTGTAAGAAAAAAAATTAACTCAGATTATTTTTTTTAATATTACAAATATTTGGTATTTAGAATTACATGAGACAATCACTTATTCTTCCTATATGAAGTTTACCACTGTCACATACCGCACTGATGGTACCTGTCTGTCATGGGTTTGGAGGGAAAGTTCCATCCTATGGGGAGTGGAAGGCAATTTGTTACAGATTTTTTTGTTTATAAGAGTGCCATATAAGGTGGACTTCAGTGGAAATTCCCTTTGTAAGAAAAAAATTTTTTTAACTCAGATTATTTTTTTTAATATTACAAATATTTGGTATTTAGAATTACATGAGACAATCACTTATTCTTCCTATATGAAGTTTACCACATATCACCATGGGCCACTTGGGAAAGAAGACAAAATTTTTCAACTGTGACATTGACGTCTTTTTAAATACATTTTCTTTTACACATTTATAGCACGCTGGGAAAATATATACATGAGCATTTATTACACGGCAGATTCAATTTAAATCAAATCAATTTGAATCAAATCAAACAAATTTTAAAAATTGGATTTTTGAAAATTTAAATAAAAATCATCTTTAATTTAAATCTTAAATCAATTTTTAAACAAATCATTGGTTTTTATCCATCCTGATTTATTAGATTTATATTCTGCCTGTCTATCAAAAAAAATGGAAATCATCATCATAATCTTAGAATTGTAGAGCTGGAAAGGATCCTATGGATCATTGAGCCCAGCCCCTGTCAAGGAGGCAAAATGGGGAATTGAACTCCCGATCTCTGGCTCCACAGCCAGATGCTTAAACCACTGAGCTATAGTTATTACAATTAAAACACAGAAGAAGTTCCTGTACTAAAATAGAATTAAATTAAAAGTACAGTGGCGCCTTGCAAGATGATTTTAATTCATTCCATGAAAATCATCATCTTGTGAAAAAATTGTCTTGAGAGGTTCCCTGTGCATTGGCCTCAAAAAAAAAAAAATCTTGTGAAGCATCGGTCTAACAAAAAAGTCTTGCGAAGCATGGTCATAGAAAAAAAGCCTTGCAAGGCACCATAGTGATCGCAAAAAACAATCGTCTTGCGGGTTTTTCGTCCAGCGAGGCAATCATCTAGCGAGGCACCACTGTAATACATTGTCAAAGAAAACAAAGCATTCATCTGGTAACGGCCTGTAACATGGGAGTGACAATTATCAGTCAATTTCCAACAACCTGTCTGAACCGAAATGTATATTTACTTGTTGTCAAAAATGTCACAGGGAAGGGGCCAGTCTACCTTCCCTTAGCAGAGGCTTCCAGAACCTGGGGCAAACTTAAGATGTGCTAAACTGACATTTTCCACCACCCTATCAAGGATTTTCAACAGATAAACTGTGGGGTTAACATTGGTCATCTGCCAGATTGCACCTGCTTTCCCTTTTCTTCCACATGCTGGATTAAAATAAACTCCATGTTGGAAAGTGTAGTTCCTTCAGAACCAGGTCTCCTCTAATTTCATCAGACGTAAAGTCTTTTATTCACATCATGTCCATTACTAAACATTATGAGATCTTACTACTCAGACTGAAGGAAAAGTCCATGTTTAAATACATTTAGGTGGGAGGAAGCCTCTCTTCATATCAAAAGTGAAAGAATTCAGCCTTAAAAGGATCAGAAAGTCAGGGACTTTTTAGACTATCAGGGTGAAGACTTCAGCTGCCACCCATTTCAGGGTTCTGTGTACCCCCTGAATTTAGCTGCAACTTTTATGAACTATTCCTATCGTAATCTGAAATATTTCAGGGAGTCTTGGTCTTCAGTTAAACTCACTAAATGGGCAGCTAAGAGTCTCATCTCATTACCAGAGGAGATGAAAATTGATTTCTTGGTATAGAACACCATTGTCTACATTTTTTTTTAAAAAAAACTATATCTGGAAACCTGGCTGCAGGAGTTGTCCTGACGAGTGCCTTTATCTCAAAACGTATGGCCACACCCCTGAGGACAATCATATCTCTGCCATTTTCTCTGTCATTCTCTACCTGCAAGATGTCTATCTGGGCACTGAGGAACATAGCAGGCAGTTTAATTCGAATTATCATGGAAGTATTTAAAAGTCATGTTGATCTGTAAGGGGTATGTGCATCCAAAATTCATTCTTCAATGGGATCCTTAATAGGACCAACAAAATTATCATAAACAGTGAGCAAGCTTAAAACTATGTGACCAGTGGGATTTACACAGAAATTTACACATATCATAAGAACAAGGAATAAAATCCCTGCTGAAAACATTGTGATATACGATCACACTGTGAGAAATAATCATACCCTGCAAGAAAACTGATGAGCCTGAAAAAATACTGTAGTGTTATAGCTGATTTTGATTGATTTTGTAGCATTCAGTCCAAAGGGAGCTAGCTGATCAACTAGTGAAATGTTATTTTCCCTAAAAATTAGATTCTCAGACGTTTCCTGATTCATCAGAAATTGACACATTCTTATTCAATCTCCGAAGTGTTTTCCATAAAAGAAAATAGTATTTCCTTCTAAAGTTGTGATTACCACCTACATGATGCACTTATATTGTCATCCTAGCTGTTACATTATTACCATACAGATTAGAAGTGCAGTGCTTAATGATGCAATGTGTTTCCTGAATGTCACGCTATCACTGTTTCTACCTATTTTAGAAAGCTTTGAGTACTAGAAAAGCAGCATATAAACTGAAGGGTAGTCTAATCTAAATCCACTTCTAACATCCATCAATTTTCTGTCTGACCCTGATATTGGGTGCAAATTTCCCTCCTGAATTAATTACATCTGCCCTACACCAACAATGGCTTGCCATCGTGACTGAATGTTGGCAAGACTGAAAATATTAACACTAAATACGGTTATAACATTTGATCAGATGACTCAGTTCAAAACTGGTACTTTTGGAGGGATCTAAATTATATTCCATCGTAACTTGAAATGTGGCCATGATTTTATACGGAGAAAACCTGAGCAGTTTTCGAAACTGGGACGTGTGTGGCACTAGAGGAGGTCAGGAATTTGATCTGCATGATTTTAAATGAAAGGAGGTGAAGATTATACAGAAGACTTCTGCTGTGGGAATACCAAAACTGAAGCTATAGGATAATGGATGTGATATACTCATGTATGTTATGTGAGTCTACATCATCCTTTCTTAAATTTTTCTTATGTGACTACATTGAGACATCCAGCACAGTTAAGATTATATTTTAAATACAGAGGGCATCATCTTACGTCAAGCAAGCAGACATTTACTTATGTAATGGGACTTCCCCTCTATCTCATCCTCTGTGTGCCCATTTTTAATCTTGAGCAACCAATGTAATATTTTCTGGGGGAAACAGCTCATATCTCAGGGACATAATTAGGGACATGCAGAAAGAATGGCAAATTGATCCCACTGGTAGAGTATATTCTGATAGTGAAGGTGTGGGCAAAGTGCAGCTCTCCAGATACTGGACTTTCTATCCCCACCATCTCTTAGTAGCCATGTTAGCCAGGGCTCATGGGATCTGCAACCCAACATCATTTGGAAGGCGACAGTTTGCCTATCCTTGGGCTGATGGCAGAGGACTGCTAAATACAACCAATGGAGATCAAACTCCATAGTTATTTTTTTTTGTTTCTTTGGATTTTTGTCTTTTAATGTATTATTTTCAGAATGAAGAAGTAGGTTTCTTGAAGAAAGCTTGAAATATGTTTAGGAGCAGTGGTGTCAGGCTAGAGGCAGCATTTAGTATAGCAACTCTACTTAAGCACTAAGCCTATATATCTCTCTGGGTTCCCCAGTCTGTTTCCCATGTTCTTCTGGACTGATATTAGCTAGTCATGTCATGCATTTTGCCAGTTAACCCATGGCTACAGAACTCCGTTCCTTGCAAAATCATATCTGATTGCTTCATCTTATTTCTTTTTAAACTGGGGGGAGGGCAGTATCTGAATTGTATTTTATTATAAATTCAGTTTTTTAAAAATTGGATATTAGGATTAGTTGAACTTAAACTGACCTATTATGCTGTCATTGCACTCTGTGTGCAGAGCCCTACCCAGCTTAGAAACCTTAATTAGCAAAATATTAAAGCAGAGTTAAAGAATTAAATGAATTGTAGAGGAAGATCTCCATAGCAAATCATAAAAATGACTCCTCTTCTGCCTCTGCTCATGAACATCCACCCGGAAACTCAGTAGCTACACTTTGTTCTTAAACTACACTAACACTGTTCTACATCCTTGTCACTTTCAGACAATCTCTAGTAACTTAAAAAGGATCTGACATAAAAGGTGGAATATGGAGCTTTGACCTTTCCAGCCATAGTGACGGAACATTCTCTAAGTGCACCAACCTGCCTTTTATTCCTAATCACCAAAGGACAACAAGTACAGTATCTCTTCCAAGTTTCCTCATTTTAAAAATAGCCTAGTTAAAAGACATTTCAGTACAATTATCTGAACATCTATTGAGAAGTAAACTTTTCTTACAAGCATGCTCATTCAGCAGTGGACTTACTTGCAGTTAAGTGAGTACAGACTGTAGCATTAAATCCCATGTTTGA